CCCCAAAACCCCAAAACCCCAAAACCCCAAAACCCCGGAGAAGGGATTAGGTGTTGAAATATGGCTTAGATAGAGGAAAAATGGGATTTATAAAAAATTATTTTTTAGATTTTCAAGGATAAAAATAAAAACTCTCAGTTTTATCATTAAAGAAAGAATTTTAATATGACGTATTTATTGTGACATAAGAATTTATTAATCATCTCTTTACTCATGAAATTCTCATGTCTCAATCTGCTAATTTTACTCAATTATATCTCTTTTAGTCAATCAATGTATAACCTGCTCATAGAAGAAAGAAATCATGACTACGAATGTTGAAAAGCCTGATATGATAATTCTGAAGTAAAAGTCTATTGAGACTAAGTCAAGGGCATCTTTCATGAAGCCTAGTGGGCCAAGGCAAATCCAGTATCACAGGCCGAGCTGGGACAAGAAAACAACTAAAGAATAAATAAGTATGCCGTACCTGCTGCTAATATTATCTGCTCAGTGGGGAGATCAGATATTTTGCCCATGAATCTCGATGACGACTTAAACACAAACCCAATGAATATATACAAAGGCAGCGTAAAAGCGAAAACAGTTGTAACTTCTTGGTTCTCTATAATAATTAACTTGGAATATTACCATCAGCAATATCACCACTCTTGTGATGGGGAGTGAAGAAGTTCTGACCTCTGAGAGTCATGAATATTGCAAAAATGGAAGCTCCTATTAAGACCATTTGGCCAATCAAGCTTAAAAGGATAGAGGGTGATAAGAGAGAACCAGGAGGAAAATTTGGCGATAACTTTGATTTTTCTTTCAAGCTTCATAGGAAAATAGTCATCGGAGTAGCTCAAAAGAAATCAATGAATAGCAACTGAGAATCACTAATATTACTGGTGTGGAAATAGAGGATTATTACGCTGGTAAATTCCATTGAAGAATATACAAGCATGTACTTAAAAAGAAGATAGCTAAGATCAAGAGATGATCTACCAACTCTCAATAAGTCAACAAGTGAAGATATATTCTCACAAGAAGAAGTGAACGGAGCAGCAATTGAAGCTTCAGAGGTGGATAAAGAAAGTCCTACATCTGCTACTTTCAATGCATTTCAATCGTTAGCTCCATCTCCACACATTGCAATCATTTCTCCACTATTATCTTGAAGTTCTTGAACAAGTGTTGCTTTCTGACTTGGAGACATTCTTGCATATACCTTTCAATTTTTCAAGAGAGTGTTAAGGATCTCTTCAGAATTATAGCCTCAGATATAGGATCTATTGTCAGATCATTCAACAATGTATTGCAACACTGCCCCGGTTACAACTATTTCTAAGTCATCTTTATTGCCATCCATGACATCTCTTATTCAGTTACTATTAAGTCTTTCTGGATAGCTCGCCTAAAGTATTATCAAATTAGAATTTACAGAGTGAGAAACCAGAAGATGGCTATCCTCGTCAGCTATATCCAAGCTCCCAATGTTGGAATCTATATTTAGCCATGCATATCTTACAAGTAGGTTCCACTCTTTTATAGCCCTTTTTCTTGATGAATAAAATATCTCCATTCTCAGCTTTTTCACAACTATAATATACTTTGTTCGTTAGGATGCTTCATTTATAAGAGACCGCTATTGATGTCAAGAGATTGTCACCAGTTGCCATGACAGGGACAACATTTCCTAAATGTTAGATATTTGTGGAATACCTTCTTTCAGCTCATCTATAGACTGCTTTGTTCAAGGCTTTACGTTATTTGACATCACTAAGAATCCTAGGAAAATCAGAGAATGCTCAATATCCTCTCTTTTTAAGAAGGGAATCTGGGATTCATCAAAATCAGGAATGTATTTGTATGATAAAGCAATCACCCTTTTTCCTTTTGATGTGTTGGTTTTCAAAGTCTCTTCAAAATCTTCAGGGACTGAATTTGGAACACAAAGCTTAAGAATCTGTTCAGGAGCACCTTTTGTATATCACACATAAGTTGAATCGTAGCTTGGCTTAGCGATCACACTCATTCTTTGGACATCGGAAGAGAAGTCAAATTTACAAACTTGGATCATCAAGAAATGGTCAGGATTTGCATCAAGATCTGGAGAAATTTTAGGTCTTGCTTCTTTAGGAATTAATAGATTTCCCCATTGGTCGTCACTGTTGTATTTTGGGTTATCATTTTCAATCATAATCCACTGAGAGGTTCTAAACATTTCTATTTCAAGGATGTCTCCAATTGGTGCATCCTTATAAAGAGCAATGGAATGACTGCTTGCCATACATTCAGTGAACTTCACATTATGATCATTCTTGCAGCTCTGATATGCCTTCTTGTTGAACCATATTGAGGTATCAATAGGAATATTATCAGGAGGATACACAGGAGGAATGAATGACTTTCCATCAAAGATCTCTCATTTTGAGACAGAGATAGTGTCTTCAGTCAAGGTTCCAGTCTTATCTAACACAGCTGTTTTAACTCTACCTGCGACATTGATTCTGTTAATATTAATTCAGCTGATTCCTTTATTCTTAAGCTTTCTCAGAGCAAAGATTACACCAACACTCATAGCAACAGGGAGCTCTGGAGGAACTGGAAGGGAGAAAATATCAAACGTTTCAAGGAAAATATCCCCTAACGAGAAGTATTTTATAAATGTAGGAAGAGCTGCACCCCACATAATCAAGGCAAGCACCATCATTCCTGAGAGGAAATATCTGATTTCAAGATCGAACTTGAATCTGTTTGGTGTTGGATATAAAATAGATCTTATTAATTCTCCTTTGGCTGATAAGAAGCCAGTTTTTACTACAATTGCCAATCAATCAGTCCCTGTTTCTTTGTTTTGGATAACCTCTGTCCCTGAAAATAAGAAGTGCTTCAATTGCATTCCATTTTCAACTGAAAAATGGTCAACATAGTCATCATTTTGAGGCACACATGTTTTAATAGAAGGGATACTTTCACCAGTTAACATAGCTTCATTAACAATAGTTTCACCAGAGATAAGCACTGCATCACAAGGGAGGATTCAGCCATTAGGGATTTCGAACACATCTCCTGGCACTAACTCGCTACTATTAATATCTCTAATTTCGAGTTTACCTTGCTCATCAAACCGTCTAACTTTGATTTTTCATTCATATCTGGCAATCTTCCTCAACTTTTCCATAGATTCCTTCAAATCATAGTACTCAGTGTAAACAGAGTACACCATTAAGACAACAATGAGAGTGGCATATTTATAGTACCCTGAAATATACCAAACTGTCAGACCCATGATCTGGTATAAATAATATGCATTTAATGTATCTCTAATTAGAATTCTGTACCAAGGGTCAATGATTAGTTCCATTTTGCATGACCCATAGAGAGACAGCAGATCATCATAGTCACATTCTGAAATCCCAGCTTTAAGGTTTCGAAGATTTTTAAACTTTCTTTCGTAGTTATACTCGATCTTCTTGACTATTCCTTCATTTACGTTGTAGAAGAAAGGAGTGTATTTATATTGGAACTTGCACAATGGCCCAATCTCTATATGATAAAAATCTCAAACTTACTTGTCTTGATATTAATGATGTCTGTCTCTATGACACTAAAGATCATGAAAAATAGCTTACTTGACTTTTTCCTTTATCCCATCTTCATTTACATCTGCTGTCTCTTCTCGAGTTTCTTCAATAAAGAGATCAGTTGCATCCTCCTATTTGGTTTTATGCAGAAATTCTTACCTCATTTGTAGCGTCTCAGTACAGAAAGAATCTCATGAATGAGGAGTACCACTCTGCGAAAATAAATGCAAACCCTCAAGTCAAGATAGTAAGGATGGGAGCAAATAAGTATTTCTTGAATTTAGACTCTCTAGAACGTCAAACCAGGACATTACCTCAGTAATACCACCTTGATGTTGGAAGGCTCCACTGTTTTAACAGACCTTAGAGTATTTGAGAATTCAGATTGGGCATGTGTGTCATAACTATAGAGAAGATTAGCACATTTTTAAAGAAATGCTCCAAATGCTCACTAAATTTACAAACTAATGCCCAATATAAAAGGTCTCTTACTTATTGAAATTGACTAGGTCCGGAAGAGATCCATATTCTGTAAGAATTTCTTTCGAATTCTGATTGAAGGTTGAGTGTTCTAAAATTTATCAGTCAAAATTTCCCTTGCAGTTTTAAGGAGAGTAATACGAGCTTTAGTGAAGAAACATTACAGTGCTATTAAGCTTTTCTAAAGTAAGGCTACAGTCTTTTAGCATAAACATTGGCAAATTTTCTAGATATTAGAGCTTGGCATCAATTGTTATTTTTATTAAGAACTACAGAGAAGGAAGAGAAATGACGAAATATTATCCAACTAAGAATATGAGATCATGGCCATTCGATTGAAAGAAGCATCCGTGCTAAACTATTTGGGTGATTTAGATTGTATGACTGACAATTCTCCAACCTTATTAAATCAGCAAAATGGTATTCATATTTAAAGAAAGAGACTTAAAATTCTAAAACTTGTTTGCGACAAGATCTAAAGAAGCTAATATTTTACCATAGATTAACCTTCAAATGATCTGTAATATTTAGTAGCTTTAATAGTGCCTCGATCCTGGTAAAGATAATATCGGGGGCAGCAGCACTTCACATTTGGATATTCACCTCAGAGATTTAGGAATTCAGACGAATAAATCCAAGGTACAGTCAGAAGCAGTCATCACTATAGCTAAGCTTGGTCTCATATATATAATCATAACTAACTTATCTAAGTTTTGCTGTTAAGCTTTATCCTAAGAGAGTTTGGGTGGATATTAGCCTTTAGATATTTGAACTACACCAAAAAAATTTAGGTAATTTATTCACCAAAATCACTTAGAAGATGCAAAGCTTCCCGATGAGTTTGCATGTACTATCTTTAAACTAAGCTCTTCTTGTATAGTGACTGGGCCCTATGGCAGGCTAGTCATAACACAAGGGTTGACTTATTAATCTATACGTTGATTTATTAGAAATTAATTAAAAATTTCTATTCATTACAACTAAGAAACTGAGGCATGCAAAAATTTAGAGATTTTAGAGCTTTTCATTGCTACTTTTGGAAGATTCTTGATAGAAGCTAATTAATGTAAAGGAATCTAGCATGAAAATTTTGGATTCCTGATTACTATCTGACTTCTTTTTATCCCAGATAAGGCTATTGAGAAGATCAATCATTAATTTTGAAACGATTTCCCTCCTTTAAACAAAAGTGTGACTCCTTTACAGCCTGAAACTAGTTTACAAGGATTTAGATAACTTGCTAATCTTAAATGAATTCAAATCCTCCATATCCAAAATTTTTTCAATGTTGAGTTCAGAGGAGTAAGGGCAATACAGGCTTTAATAAGAAAACCAGATCATCCATCCTTTAAATACATAAAAACTAGCTACTATACTGAACTAAGCGGCCGCCACCTAATTCGTTAGACTATAAATCAGAATGTAAGCTCATAATCTGAAGAATAGTAAACAGTCAGAGGAAATTTTGATAACAAATTTGATAGAACAGGGTAGGAATAGTCACACAGAGATTTATTTATAATAATAAATTAAGTCAACTCAACAAGCAGGAAGCCGGGATATTTAGATTATCTATCTGCTAGAGTTAAGACATCAAGCTCTTTTTACTGTTTCAAATTTAGTTAAAAGTAGCCGTATTTTCATTTCACTAAAAGAAAGCTCTCTATAAACGAACCATTTGATTATAAATACATTTCAGTTAATAGTGTTTCATCACGTCAGCTAATTTAACGAAACAAGAGAGACCGTAAAGTCATGATTTTTCTCAACCTATTGATCCATAAGACTAATATGTAAATCTTAGAATAAAATCAGATCTAAAATAGATAAATTCCTCTCAATAAACCATTCACGAGCGGATACCTAAATTTCCTCTTAATAATCTCACTCATCTCTCTCAACACTCATTTCCCCAACTAAACCCTAACAATACCTAAATACCCTCAACACCTCCAAGCAACCCCCTAACCCCCCTAATCTCTCCAACTCTCAAGCCAAATCTAGTTCAAAAATCCCCTCTACCCCCTCCCTCCCCCCACTCCATCCCCAATCTCACCTGCTTCATCTTGCTTCACTTCCTCTTTATTCCCAATATCTTCTCTAGCTAAACAGAAATTATCTCCGAGCCCATGGGTTAAGAAGGAAGGAGAGTACTTACGCAAGCGCACCATTTTTGGATTGTTCATTTTTATTATATTTTTAAGGGGTTTTGGGGTTTTGGGGTTTTGGGGG